CAAAGATGCTTCTTGACTGTCATGTCATCAAGACACTGGTCATAGAATTATCATTTTATCAGTCACTTACATGAGAGACCTCCAAGTTCACGTTCTTATTAGCTCCTACCTGGGTTATTTTAAAAGACTCCTAATTTGTTCCCCCATTTCTAATCTAGCCTCATTCCAATCCAAATAGCATCAGCTCACCAGCCAGCTTAAATACCACTATAATTGATACCACTGTAATTAACTAGTTATTAATAACAGGAAAGGAGTAAAGGGAAGGCCAAACATTATAGGCATGTTCCCTACAAAACATGTAGGGGGAAGGGGACTTGACAAAGGAAAGATAGCCGTGCCCCGGCCGGTTTGGCTCAGCGGTTAGAGCGTCGGCCTGCGGTCCGGAGAGACCCGGGTTCGGTTCCCGCTAAGGGCACGTACCTCGGTTGCAGTTTGTCCCCTGCCCTGGTTGGGTCGTGTGCGTGGCAACCACTCGATGTGTCCCTTTCACGTTGATGTTTCTCTCTCTCTCTCCCTCTCCCCCTCCCTCCCTCCCACTCTATCTGAATAAAATATCAAAAAATGTCCTCGGGTGAGGATAAAAAAACAAGAAAGGTAGCCGTGTGCCCAGTAAAGTTGGGGTGACAGGGAAGGTGCTGCCTGCACATCACCCTTGGGGACAGAGATGGTTGGCCAGAATGGGTGTGGCCACTGCAAGGGCCCAAAGATCTGGAATCCATAACCCCCTAAAGGAGTTCGATCTCTTGTGCTCTTGGCTCTTGGCACTTGTGTGACTCTAGGCTTGTGGGGCTCTTTGCTCCTGCATTTGCCATGGCCCATGGCCATGTGAACCCACACACAATGGACCGATGGACTGCAGCTAGCCTGATGCTGAACTGGACCCAGCTCCAACATGAAAAGGAAACTCTGGACACTGGCTTTGCTTTTAGCTTTACTGAAACCCAAGCTACACTTCTATGACTGGACGCCGGGATTTTGCTCCATGAAAATAAAACTTTCTACCATAACTCATCCTCCTGTGGGGGCTTCCGGAAATGCTTATTCCAGCAGTACCCCAAGAACAGGGAAAGATAAGGCATATTTTCCATCGAAAACATAATCACTTTACAGTTTACTGCAAGAATCTTAGACTAACTCTTATCTGTGAGCAGTGGAAAGCAAACTATAATGACAGTCAAGTCTTCGCCTTCTGCTTCTGTTCAACGTGAACTCTCTGTAAGCAGGCTGATCTCAACTCCCATTGATGACGAGCTGGATCTGTCTCCCTTCCTTGTCAATGCAAATTCATCCTCCCAGCATGCTACCCAGAAAAGCTAGTAAGGTTTTCAGTAACCATTACAGCTTCAAATAAACTCTTTAGCTTCAGAATTTCAATGATACTCACATATTGTCTGATCCATTGATCTGGCACTAAATCATACTCCTACTGTCAAGCAGTTATATGTCTATGATCTAAATTAATTAAATTGAGGTGATCCCCTTATGGCCTTTATATTTGCTGTACTGCTCATAGTCCCTGAAAGAAAGCTTAGAAACCTGGTAAATCCTCAGTATTTGGTGAACAGTGAATGAGCAGCATCTTGAATTTTTGCACAAATACATTTTGATTTCCTATGTACCTCTAAGGCTTTTCTATAACAAAATAAATTATTATTTTACGTAGATTCATTCATCCGGGGTCCCCAAGACCACCCCAGGGTTCAGTGATCCAGTAGGAGGACTCACAAGACTCATGTTTAAGATTCACTACAACAAAAGGAATCAAGCAGAATCAACAGAAGAAAAAGGTGCATGTGGCAAAGTCCTGAGAAACCAAATGCGAGCTTTTATTTTATTTTTTGCTAATCTTCACCCAAAGATATTTTTCCATTGATTTTTTTAGATAGAGTGAAAGGGAGAGAGGGAGAGAGGGAGAGAGACATATCCAATTGGTTGCCTCCTGCATGACCCCAAAAAGAGCCGGGATCAAACCTGCAACCCAGGTACGTGCCCTTGATCAAGAATCAAACCTACGACCCCACGGGCTAACACTAACTCCTGAGCCAAACCAGCCAGGGCTCAAGTGCAAGCTTTCAAGAGTTCTCTCCCAATGCAGTCACTCCATCATCAAATTGTGACAAGACATGTTGTCTACCAAGGAAGCTTGTCAGAGACATGGTGCCTAAGGTTTATTTTAAGGGCTGGTCACCTAAGCACCCTCTGCTTAGCACAGACCAAAATTACAGACTTCCAGAAAGTATTTAGCATAAATCACACTGTAGTCTAGGCACAGTCAGCCACTCTGAAGTTTAATGTCACTGTAGAGAACCGCTGACTATTCAAGTTCCCAGGTGTCAGCAAAAACACTGTAAGCAGGCCTTTCTAAGAAAAGCAGTCTTGGGCCTGATATGTAGTTCATCTCATATTTATGGGAGACATGTGATAGTCTGAACTAATTTATATAAGAGCATTTAAAGTGACTTTTAAAAAAATGAAAATCTATCATTTAATTAGAGATTCACTGCCTAGCCTGGCACCTAAGAATGAAAGTTTTGCAATTTTTAAATAATTCACATCTTTGAGGTATTTCAGGGTTTCTTTTCCCTTGTAAAATGAGATACTATTGAAACCAAAATTTTCATAGTTGTCCAGGATAAGGGGAGTTAAGTACAACATCTAAAGGGAGCAAACCATCTTGGATAAGCTCCTGGTGTTCTCTTCAAATGTTAATTGGGTACCAGAGCACTATGGTAGCTGTTTTAGGTACAGGATCTTACAAAATCCTCACAATAACCCCTAGGCCAGTGGTGGTTTCTATTTTACAGATGGAAGCTTTGGGAGGCGAAGTAGCCACCCAGGTTTCCCGTGGCAGAGTTGGGTGTTAGCTTAAGATCTGCCTAATTCCAAACCCTTGCTATTAGCTTTATTTACATCAACCACTTCTACCTAACAAGGCACAGGTTCCTTATTATGGATCATTTCCCTCCAAATCATATGAGTCTTTTTTGTTTGTTTGTTTGTTTATACAGAACACTACTCTTAACTTTACTGACTTGTATTACAAGTCAAAATTGTAGTCAGAAGAGAAAGTTTAATGCAGATATTCACTTTTTTTCCTTTCCAACTTGTGCAAATTACAAATCAAATTATACCCCTTGCCTGTCAAAACCATTAGGAACCTCCCAACTCAGCAGAGCACACAATTTTCTCCTTTATCTGGCATAAATCTGTTTGACATTAGACAGACCTGTATCAGAACCTTGGCATTTCACTTACCAGATGTGGGGACCTTGGGAAAGTTAGATACGCTTTCTGAGCCTGTTTATTCATCCACAAAATGAGAATCCCTAGATCATAGTCTTGCTGTGAGAATTAAATAAGATAACATATTTGAAGGGTCCAGCCTATACATATTTGCTGAATAAATGATTTTGTGCACCAGAATAACTGATTAACTGTTTTGAAAGAAGCAAGCCAAATCAATAACCCCAGGGAGAAAGGAGGTGGTAGGGAAGTACCCTGACCACCAGGTGTCACCACTGGCCCAGAAGACCTGGTCTAACGGCCAGAAGTGCTGGGTGGGACCCTGCAGCAACACAGGCTAAGGTTCAAAGTGAGACGGTCACTTGTACCTACAGGACATTCAAAAATTGACTTGGCTTTCAACACCTTAACAGCTGATACAATATTTGTTGCACCATTCTAAGTTACACTGTTCTCTTACTTGTGTTAAAAACAACTGTAGTATGATTAATTAGCTGAATGGCCAAAGATTTGTCAGCACAGTTTAATTTTTAAAACTACCCTCAGCTGAGCATGTTTTAATTCTGAGAATCAACAGTACTTCATATATCCTTGACTTTGGCCAACAAGACATTACAATTTCTGGCTTCAATACTGCCACCAAGGACACTTTTCTGGCCCCAGTTCCACAAACTATTGACATTATGACCTTTACATTATTAATAGGGGTAGCAGATAAAAAGAAAGCAGAATAGCCCTGGGGGGTCTGGCTCGGCGGTTAGGGCGTCGGCCTGCGGTCCAGAGAGACCTGCGATGGGTTCCGCTAAGGGCACGTACCCCCGCTGCAGTTTGTCCCCGGCCCTGGTTGGGTTATGCGGGAGGCGTCCCCTCTATGTGTACCTTTCCTGTTGATGTTTCTCTCTTCCTCTCTCTCCCTCCCACTCTATCTGAACAAAAAATGGAAAAATGTCCTCGGGTGAGGATAAAAAAAAAAGAAAGCAGAATATTTTTAGGGTAAAAATAAAGTCTACGAACAGTAAGAATTAAGTATTAACCTTTTTCCTTTTTCCTAAAAGTTCACCTTAAAAATGCTGTACATTTTCTATTTTCTTAAGGTACATTTCACTTAGGGTAAATCTGTCAACCTACGAACAACCCTGAAATTACTCAAGAAGGACTCCTGACTTTATTCTGCAACCTGCCAACCACTCGCCTCGAGTGCCCAGTGGCTCATTTCAACATGGGGCAGGGTCTGGGCTCTCGTCCTGGTTCTAGGTCCTCCACCCTGAGGGCCACTGGTGGCCACTTCAAGATGGGCAACTCAGGGGCCGTGAGCGAAGGGGCACCTGCCTCAAGTCCAGCCCGACCAGGCCTAGCCCTGGGCGCCGAGGGCCCGGGAACCAACGCGAGGAGGGTCAGGCTCGGCACTGGCTTCTGCTCGAGCCGGCGCTCGAGGAGCTCAAGCGCTTGGGGTTATTTTTGTTAGTTTTAACAACCCAAGTTCCACTTTGCATTTCACAAGTACGGAAACGTCTTAAGAGAAACCAGAAGCATCATCTTTCTGGCCGCTGCTCCCGTTCCTAGAGAATCTAGGAGGGCAGAGCAGATCCCAGGAAGCATCTGGAATCGGGAGGGCAGGAGCCCAGATGGCACTTTGTGCAGATCGATCCACTGCCGTCTGGTTTCAGGGGGCCCCAGACGGAGGCGCTCCCGGGGCAGAGGCCGCGGCGGGAGGTGCGGGCTCCCACCGGCCCTGCGGACGCGCGGGCGCCTACCTGGGGGACTCGGCGCTGAAGCTGCCGCCGTCCAGCAGCCGCATCTTGCAGAAGAGGACCCCGTTGACGAAGGGCACCGAGGAGAGCTCCTCGAGCTCGAAGTCCACCTTAAACTTAAACTTCTTTTTCTTCATCATCATGAAAGCCAGGCGCCGGCGAGCGGGGTGCGGGGGCGCCCCCCAGGGGCGCGAGGGCCGTCGCCGCCTCAGCTCGGCCGAGCCCCGGGCCCGCGCAGCCCCATGGCCGAGGCCGCGAGCTGCGCGCGGGGGCGCGGCCGGGGGGCGCCGCGGGCCAGTCGGGAGCGGGGCCGGGGCCGCCGCCTGTCGCCGCAGTCTGGGCCGGAGCGTGGCGGCCGCGGGCGCACTGCAGCTCGCCAGGGCGGGGGTTCCGTGTGGCTGCGCAGCTCGCGCCTCCGCCTGTCTGCGAGCCGGGGAGGCGACGCTGGGAGACCGCCGCCCACTCCTCCGCTGCCCGGGCGCCCCCAGCGGCGGCGGCCGGCAGCGCAGCGCCCGGCGGAAGGGGGGGGGGGGGCGGGCGAGGAAACGGGGAGCGGGCGGCGCTGGGCTGGGAAGCGAGGCGAACGGCAGTTAGGGCGTCACGGCTTACTGGGGTTCAAAAAAGGCGAACCCGACCGAAAAGGAGCTTCCTTCTGCTTCCCCTCCGCCTTTCTTTCCGTGTTGCCCCGCCTCCCTCCTGCCGGCCCTGCAGCCGCGTGATGGCCCCTGGGGACTGGGAGTTAGGGGTGAACAGCATTCACCAGAATCTCCACGACGTTGTTTTCATGCAGTGGAAGTCCCCAAACTACAATTTCCCTTAGGGATTCAATTCACATAAAATTCTTCTAACATAAAATGAGGACGAGATAGGAAAAAACAAAATCATTAAAATGTATTGGGGGACTACCACGTGCCCAGGCTCTGGACTGCTACTGGCGATCGCTCTTGTTTATCCGCTAATGCTCGTCACCCAGGATAAAAGAGTACGGACAGGTTAAAATAATAGCTTCCCTTTCCAGATTTGGCTGTGCATACCGAGAACGGAAACCTGAACATGAAAACTCTCCCAAGATGCAATGCAATTACCTGCTGTCTGTCTATAGGCAGGTACTTGGAGCTTCTGTGTACGTTGCCTGCTTGGTTACGCGACGTTCATGTTTTCAAACTGAGTTATTATTGTCCTAACTCAAAGATTCCCTCGCAGTAATCTCTGAAAGGGTGTGATTGTAGAGATTCTTGTTCCCAGGTCACTCACTCACTTACTCATGCATTTCTTTCTTTCTATCTATCTTTCTTTCTATCTATCTACCTACCTACCTACCTACCTACCTACCTTTAATCCTCACCTGAGGATACATTTATTGAGTTTTGGAGAGAGAGGAAGGGAGAGAGAGAAAGAGAGAGAGAGATCAGGCCTCCTGTTCGTGCCCTGACCGGGGATCGAGATCCAGCTATGTGCCCCGACTGGGAATCGAAGGTAACTTCTTGGGTGTATGGGAGGGTGCTCCAACCAACTGAGCCACCGGGCTGGGCCATATGAAAATATTTTGTTAATAGCCTAAAATGTCAGTCACTGACTAGACCTAATGATAAAGCAAGACAAAAGCCTGCCGTGGACAATTTAAAATCTAGTGAGGGAACCTTGTGTAAATCAGTCATTAGAAAACAAAACCTAGCATCAAGGTGTGTTTCTTCAGAATGAAGAAGCAATTTGTCTAGAACTCAAATGAGGAAGTGATTAATTGAAGTTACCAGTGTTCTGAATTTCAAAGAATGACCAGGATTTGGAACAAAGGAGGAGGGGCGTTTCATGTGGAAGAAATAGATGACCCACCGGCAGAGTTTAGGATTTGGGTGCTGGGGGTTCCATAGAGGATAAAACTGGTGGCCCAGCAGGACAAGGGGAAAAGGCAGTGGGAAGAGTTAAGGGGACACTGAGATTTATAATTTGGACCACTAGATAGATGTTTCTTCCGTTGAATGAGCTTTGGAAACTGGAGGAGGGCAGGTTGGGAATGGAAGAGATAATGAGTACTTAACCATCTGAGAGACACTCCGGGAGAGAAGGGCAGCCTTGGCAGGTGAAAGGTGACTGAAAACAGGCATTTGGGAATTAGAGTATTCCCCGGTGGCTGGAGCCCCAACGGTAAATAAAAATGAGTTACTCTGAAGAACATTTAAGGGGTAGTCAGAAGAAGAGGAGCTTGTGAAGGAGCTTGAGAACAGTCAGAGAAAGAGCTCAAGAAAGATAGCCTGGAAGCCAAGAAAGAGGTAATCATTTGGTGTTCATAATTACTAAGACCTACTATGTGCCTGGCAGTATGCTGGGAACAGAGATACAATAAGACCAGCGAGGGGGGATTATAAATGAATGGAGGATAACATAGATGTGCAAACAGATGAGGGGGGGGGGGGGGGGGGAGAGAGAGAGAGAGAGAGAGAGAGAGAGAATCTTTCCATGATCCATGGAGAGCAGAGGAAGAAGTTTCCAGAAAGTGCTGCAGAACAATTCTGGAGGATTTGGACTGTGAGAGGAAGCAGAGTTTGCCACCCCAATTTATGTCATTTAGGATATTATTTTAAACTGGTTTAAAAAATATTTTTTAATTGATTTTAGAGAGAGGAAGGGAGAAGCAGGGAGAGAGAGAAACATCTATGAGAGAGAACATTGATTGGCCACCTTTTGCATGCCTCCTACTGGGGGTTAGGCCTACAACCTAGGCATGTGCCCTGACTGGGAATGGAACTGGTGACCTCTTGGTGCACAGGTCGACGCTCAACCACTGAGCCACACCTGCCGGGCAAACTGATTATTTTTTTAAAATATATTTTTATTGATTTTTTTAGAGGGAGAGGGAAAGTGAAACGTTGATGAAAGAGACTCATCAACCGGCTGCCTCCTGCACACCTCCCACTAGGGATTGAGCCGGCAACCAGAACATGTGCCTAGTCTGGACAGTGACCTCTTGGTGCATGGGCCTACCTCAATCCACTGAGCCACACCAGCAGGGAAAGCTGGTTATTTTTTAAGAAACAAAAGACTCAGAAAGAACCTTTGACCCTCCCCCTTACCTGCCTAAAGGAATTCAGTTAGAGAAACCCCTTTAAAGGAAGGGAGCTAAGTATGAAAGAAAGCGAGGAACCTAGCAACCTCTGTGTCTCATGGTTTCTGGGTGGCTGGGCAGGAATTTTTTATCAAAGGTTTGCTCTTTCTCACCTACCTTCCCTTTGAAGTCCCAGACCCCTGCCTCCTTCTTAACTGTGCTATATGTCCACAGGGTCACGTATTCTATGGAACCCTGTCTGTACATACATAATAAATGTGGTTACTCTTTCCTGTTAATCTTTCATGTTAATTTTCTTTTTTTTTTTGTCCTCACTCGAGGACATTTTTCCATTTTTTGTTCAGATAGAGTGGGAGGGAGAGAGAGGAAGAGAGAGAGAGAGAGAGAGAGAGAAACATCGATGTGACAGGGACACATTGAGCGGCTGCCTCCCACATGCACAACCCAACCAGGGCCAGGGACAAACTAAACCGAGGCACGTACCCTTAGTGGGAACCGAACCCGGGTCTCTCTGGACCGCAGGCCAACGCTCCAACCGCTGAGACAAACCAGCCAGGGCTCTCATGTTAATTTGATTGCAGCCAGAAGAATTTAGATGGGTAGAAGAAAAATTGTTTCATCTCCTACAATGGGAAAGAAGTTGTTAAATTGAAGATCTCATGGGTCATTGATAATCTTGGCAGGAGAGGTCTCCATAAATCGTGGGGGCAAAGTAAGATTAGAATGGTCTGAAAAGTAAATGGAAGGTAGTAATGAGGAGTGGGTAACTAAATATTATTTTTTTCTGATTTTTGTCATTGAATGAAAAGAGAGAGGACGGTAGCTAAAGAATAAGGCTTCAAGCTTTTTAAATGACATTCAGGGACCATCCAAGATTCATTGAGTGCCTGTTAGGTGCCAAGTACCTTCTAGGCCATGGAGATCTGAGACGCAGAGCCTGTTCTACATGGAAGTGGGCAGTTCCAGTACAGTGTGACCCTGTGTTGTGTGTGTGTGATGGTAAATTGAGGCTGCTGCAGAAGCATCTAATGACATCTAACCAGAAAAGTAGGTTTGTGGAAGACTTTCTGGGGTAAGTGACATTTGAGCTGATGTCTGAATGATGAGAGTGGGGGTGGGGCGCGGTTTCCAGGAAGAAGCTACTGCATGTGCAAAGGCTCAGAGGAAGAGAGACTGTTGCAGGAGGAACTGAAAGTAGTTGTCTGGCTGCAATTTAGAGGGGGGTGTGGTGACAGGGATATAATAAAGAGCCATGGAAGTTTTAAAACAGAAGAATAATGTGTTCAGATTTTGCTATCTTTTTTAAATCCTCGCCCCAGGATATGCTTTTATTGATTTCAGAGAGAGAGAAAAACATGATGTGTGAAGGTTGCCTCCCATATGCACCCTGACTGGAGATTGAACCTGCATCCTAGGTATGTGCCCTGACCAGGAATCGAACCTGCAACTTTTTAGTGTACGGGACAACACTCCAACCAACTGAGCCACCTGGCCAGGGCCAGATTTGCATTTTATAAAGATCTCCAGCTGCAGTAAACCTGGAGGTAGGGGGAAAGTCTAGTATTCCTTTTTAGACTCATTATTCAATTATTAAACACCTTGGATGAGTCAAGGTCCAGGCAAGAAACACACTGAGTACTCAAAGTGTTTAAATAAAAAAGGTTTAATGAAAGGACTCTTTACAGGACAGGGTAAAGGACCCACAGTCTGGTATTACCTCCCATTATCCCAAACCAACCCAAACCAGAGGGCAATGGAACCTGGAAGATGAAGTTCCTAGAGCATGCCCTCCTGGGGCACAGAGGAAGGCACAGAAGGGTAGAGAGTGGATGGAGGTGAGAAGACAGAGAGCTACAACAAACAAACAAACAAAAAAAACAAAGGGATATCAGTCAGACAACTCAGTACTTCTGAAACCCTTGGAAGGGCAGGAGGAGGAGAAGTCAACAGGCTGCGGATTTCAAGGTCACATCATTTGTGGCAAACACTACTAGTATTCACTAATATCTAGTCCTCCTTTACTTCTTGGGCATGAGGGAGTTTACGTTTCTGGATCCCCCGTAGTTAAGTGGGACCAATAACATGTGAGAAGTAATGTGTCACTCCAGGAGGAGACAGTGAAAAGCCTTTGAGCAGTTCTCTAGACTTCCTCTTCCTTCCATGATAGT